TGGCGGCTCATTTTCTATCTAAATGAAAACTCTGTTCAGGAGATTGGCCAAGTTAGTTACCTTGAGTGTGTGTGTGTGTGTGTATTCAAGATTCTGCCAGATGGCGGCGGCGACGTGTCCTTTCCAGTATTTCTCCAGGGAATTCACACCGCTAAGACCATGCAGCTCATGACAGTTATTTTAATTTGGAATAATCTACCACGTAGTAAAGGCGCCCGCTGCCGTAGCATAGGTTTCTCACTGAAAATCCTCGTCCCCCGACGGCACCTTTTTTTGAATTGTCTTCCTTTTCAACGCCGTTTTTCGGGAATTTCGGATTTTTTAAAAAAAATTTTTCGCAATAATATTCGGAAAATAGATAACTTTTAACACATTTTAATGCAATAAAAATTTTTGGTCGGAGTCCCCCCTTTAAAAGAATTTACAGTCATAAAAAACAGTCATAAAAATTTAAAATATTGTTATCAGGATATAACACTTTTTGGAGTTTTTTATTTATTGTTTTTTTACTGTTTTTGCAATTTTAAAAGCTATTTTAAAAGCTATTTCGTTAATTTGTTAAGGTTCTATCAATAAGACATTCGAAACTGTAAAATATAGTACTTTTTGGTCCACGACCCTCTTCCTGACAGCCTTGCTTAAGCGAACTCCGGACATCCAGACTTACAGACACACGGCTGGTTTTCGAGTATAGTTCGACCCAGAACCAGATCATTGCAAACTTTCAAACTCTGTGACCGAAAAACGTGTGTTCTGATAATGATAACAAAACTCCGGAGTGCCGTGTACGACAATATAGTTAACTGCTGATAACTAAAAGAGAGGCAGAAGACGAAACAATTTGATAAGAAAACATATAGGGCAGCATATTTAAGTTTATATGTCGATGTGACTCCCATTTTTGCCTCTTTCTGCAAACATAAATTTTTGTCGGTTTTAATCATTTTGGCGTTTTTAGGGTAAAAATGCGGATACGAATAGGAAAATTAGATGTGTTTATTGTGATTGCTGCGACGATATGCATCGTATTCGGAATTGTCATGTGGGCGGCGTTCTCGTCGATTTATAGTACATTAGTCATTCAGGTATGCAGAGAGAACAAAGAACAGATTCTGAGATTCAGAGATTCTGAGATTCTGATATTCTGAGATTCTGAGATTCTGAGGTTCTGAGATTCTGAGATTCTGAGATTCTGAGATTCTGAAATTCTGAAACCTAAAAATTGGTACCCCAAAATAGCGAGAATTCCATAAATCTCGAATATCTCGAAATTCAAAAAAAATTCAGAAAACCCCAAAGATCATCGAAAATTTCTAAATACGAAAAACCTTCAAAATCTCGAAAATCCTAAATAAATCAAAAATTATGAAAAAAGCTAAAATTTCAAAAATCTGATAAAGAATCTCGGAAATCTTTTTAAACCCCCCCCCCCCCAAAAAAAAACCGAGATTATCTAATAGAACCGAAACATTTTTTAAGTCGGAAGTTTACTAGATTTATGATACGATAGTTAAATTGAAGAGTTTCAGATTATTAGATCCTCTGATCTTGTGATTATAAGAATCCTAAGAATCCTAAGACGCGCAATGTTTTGTCTCTCCCCCAACTTTCCCATATTTCCAGAATCTCCGCTTATCTGAAAATACGGATACCAGTCTCGGATACTCAGCATTCCAGTACACAAATCCTCAAGTGACCAACGTTATGAAATTCTATTTTTTCAATTTAACAAATCCGGACGAAGTCAAATACTATTCTGCAGCCCCAAACATGGTGGAAATTGGACCATTTTCAGTCATGTGAGTTAGATATGCAGGTCCGTGGATTACTGTACCTTAAATTTAATTTCAGAGAAAGCGAACAGAAAAAGTATCTGGATTTTAATGGGGACAAGTCTCAAATGTTTTATCAAAATTATAAAAAGTACATTTTATCCAAGGATTATTCTTGTGACGAGTGTGATTGGGATAGAACTCTGGTTTTTCCGAATCCACCTGGATTGGGAGCCGTCGGATCAATGATCGATCCTCAATTTAAAATCACTCGTACTGGAAGAACAATCATTGCCACCGCTCTAATGATTCTTGGAGAGTATCCATTTGTGTAAGTGGCCTAGGTATTTCTAGGCCACCAAAGGAAAGATTTCAGATCCCATAAAGTGCGCGAAGTCCTTTTCGATGGCTATGAAGATGCCTTGTTGTCTGCAGCACATTCAGGGGTGACAGTTTTTCCGGCGCCAAATTTAAAATAACATAAACTTTCAGTTCGTCACAATTCTATCAGGAATTTTCAAAGGAGACGGTGAAAGTATCGTGCCAATTCCGATTCCTCAAATGCCAAAGTTTGGGTATTTTCAAGGGGTGAGCATTTTTAATGTTCTTAAAACGGAACGTTCGAATTTGTAGTACAACAACTCGCGAGACGAAGAGTACTGGATAGAAACTGGGAAAGACGATATCAATCAAATTGGACAGGTCAAGAAATGGGCGGGAATCACTGAGTTGCCGGGGTCTTGGTGGACAGGAGACCACGCGAGGAGGATTAGTGGAAGTGGTAAGTGGTTTTTGAAGCTCCACCCATTTTGCAACTCTGCGGCTCGGTTTCTCACACTGGAACTTTAATTTTTATTAAAATTAAAACCAAATTTTTTCCGGGAAATTTGAAAAGCTTGTTATTAAAATTTTTTTGAAGATTACCGAATCCAAATAAGACAACAATTGTTTCCGGCTGACAGAGTATAAACGAAATGAGAGCTTCAAATTAGTATCTGTAAAATTTTTTTGAAATTTCAACCATACGAGATAAGCTGTTTCAAAACTTATTGCAGTGCTATATTTGCCATTTTTTGGTTACAATATGCATATTTCGTAAAAGTGGAATTTGGCAAAAAAGTTGTCAACCGGAAAATTAAAGCTCTAGTCTTATTTAATGCATTGGAAGTTTTAGAAAAAAATGTACCATTTTTTTAAACATCCAAAGTTGCCCATGCATTTTTAACTAAAATTTCAGCCTAAATTGTTTGTTTCTTTTATTCAGATTCTGGAAGTTTCACTCAAATGCATCTGGATGAGTCGTCGACAGCAGACATGTTCTTCAGTTTCATGTGTCGATCCTTTACAAAAACATTCTACAAGAAGGACACGATTCAATCAATTCCAACAATGGGGTGAATAATTTTTGAAGAAGTTGACCAACTGTCCCCACCCTTTTTCCGTCCCTCTCCTTTAATAATCAGGAATTCGCTCATAATAATCGGCTTTTGCAGTTATCACATTGGTTATGACGAATGGGACACGACATCTGATAAAAATATAGGCTTCCGTTATCGAAATATCGAGAAGAGGAACTATTTTCCAGACTGGCCGAAGTGTCCGCCGTGAGTTTTTGGTTTTGAAGGATTTACAATCTTCCTTATAAATAAAATGCTAGAGGCGTCTGTCCGTCCCGGTGTCAGTCTGTAAACTTTTGAAAAGATTGAAAATTAATATAAATTTACGTGACCCTTCAAGAATAATTGAGGAGCTGAGCCACGAATTAGTAAAAAACAAGATTGATTCGCGCCGAAGGCGCACCAGCTGGCTGGTTTAACCATATTCCCTTTCGATTATCTCGGCTCTTGAAGGAAATTTGAAATTTTTTAATTTAACAAAACTGAAATCTGGATTAAAACAAAACAATATTAGACCGATCGTACATATCTTAAATTTCTAAAATTTCCGAAATTTCGAAATTTCACACTGAACAAAATATTAAAATTCTCGCTTCCGTTCCAAACAGACAAAAACCTATTTTTTCAGAAAAGGCGAATGTCATCAAGCAGGCTCAATCGAATGTTGGAAATCCGAAAACTTTTGTCACGCCTGTTGTGACGGATCCTTCTACAATGGAACCTATTTCCTTCCACCTGGAATGTTCCCATTAGTTTGCTATCCGGGACGTCTTCAACCGACTCCATTCGCCGTTGTCTATTCTCCACCACACTTCTTATTCTCACCAGATGAGGTCAGAAATCCAGTGGTTGGAATGAAACCAGATCCGGAGAAGCATGAACCTATGATCTATTACCATGAGACATACAGTGGGACAACTCTAAAAGTGGTGAATCGTCTTCAAGTCAATATGCCTGTTATTAAATCTCATGATGTTCCGTAAGTCGATTCTTCTTTAGCTTTTGAAAATTCAAAAAATTTCTTTGTTTTTTCAGAAGCAGTCAAAACATGCCGAACGTGATGATTCCATTGTTCTGGCAAGAAGCCACGCCCATCTACCATCAATTCATCTTCAATCAAGTCTGGCTTGGCTTCGTTTTGGTACCTCGTTTAATGACGGTCCTTCAATTTGTTGCTCTTGGGTTCGGCCTCTTTTTGCTGGCTCTTTTATTCTTCCTGCAACTTCGAAAATCCAAATCATCGTCTGTAAAACCAATGAAATCCAGCTTTTTGGAACGAACAAGTAACTGGCTGTCATCTACTACTTCTAATTCTTATAATTCGGATCAAAGTGGAGGATTGAGGAGGATGTAGTGTCACTTTACTTTGTAATAAAAATAATATTTTTGAGATTCTTTGTATAATAAAATGATATTTGAAGATGGGTTGATTGAGATTATTTTTTTTCGACTATTATTGCAAAACTGCCACTTTGTAAATATGGGCGTTGGCATAAATTGCAATCGACTTGCTGTTCGGATCATATTGCACATTTCCAATCGGTTGTTCCAATCCTTCCCACAACGTTTTTCTTCCTTGGATATAGGTATGACTATAAAAGTCATAAACTGGAGTCACTGTTCCATCACACTCCACAGAATACAAAATTGCGCATCTCACAAACGCATTACACATCGTTGAAGTATCAATAGATGGAAGCGTCCAATTGGAAACAATCTGAAAAAAAAACAAAAAGATCAAGCCACCTAGGGGACTCGAACCCCTGACCTTAAGATTAAAAGTCTCACGCTCTACCAACTGAGCTAAGGTGGCCCCCGAAAGAGATGGGTGAGGGTTGTTGTTATAAAGGAGTGGAAGAAGAGAGGGCGCAGAGAAACGAGGGGAGGGGACTCACTTGCATGTTGTGTACGTTGATGCGGCTGACTGAGAGAATATTCTCGTCACGTCTTCTATAAAGCACCCAGATGCCGTGTTCCTCTGCTTGGACGTCGAGGCGGGAAGTGGAGTTGGCGTAGAGCGGTTCCTTGAAGTTTTACAGATATTAATGAAGAATAGACTTACTATTAGTTTTTAAGGGACTTTAAACTTTAAGCCAATTTATCTCGGTTCGTGTGAAAGATATCAAAATGTGATAAACAGTCAAATTATCATTCATATTATGATGAATGTGTTGTCAGTTGGTCACTTTTTGATATCCCTCACAGAAAATGAGATATATAGGCTCAAAGTCGACGGTTGCATTCTATTAGGGTGCTTACGGTAACTTTGACATAATACATATCTTATTGTGATCGTGACTTAACGTTATCAGGGAAATTTTGCCCCCCCCCCCCGCAATCCAAACCCACCAAAGACGTTCTCAAATGAATGGAATTCGACTTTTCCGACTTCAAATTATATGAGATTAGCCTATCGTTTTCACTATAATACATGGTGTTGTTGTAAACCATGTTGTCGGTTCCTGAAAAAGAAAGAGTAAGAGGTACAGTAATCCCAATGTTTTCTCTAACCATCAAACGGATACGGTAAAAATTGAACCGCCCGCGTTTCCGAGCTATTCAGTCTTCGATTCCCTTTAAATGAAAGCATCGTGTATCCGTGAGATAGTTCGCAGACATGCCAGTGACCACCATCCAAATAGGCGCAGCCATCCGAGTTCTTACGTTCACCGATTAGGACGGGTTGACCAAACGATACCTCGGCCGAACATTCTGGAATAGAAATTGTTCTTGATTTTATTTCACCGCTATTAGTACTGCTACTTTGTGTCCAAGTATCTCGAATCCCACTGAAAATGTGAAACAATAGTGAACTGATAAAGAGTTCAAAATAAGATAATTAACATTTTATCAGTTTTCCACTATTTGATTGATTTTCAAGGAAACGGGATAATCAGGGTCACAGTAACGATTGACTTGAACGTTTGACTTTTGGCTCCTTGAGCCCAATAATCTCGGTTGAAATAAATGAAATAAAAAATAAAAGGTTCTTATACTGAATGCATCGATCCTTAACTTTGACCGCGTTTATCTACCCTCATAGAGGAGATACCAAAATTTTGAAAACTAACAAATTATTCAAAATACTCTCCCGAGCATTTTCTCAGTTAACAGTTTCAAACTATCTTTCATAAGAAACGAGATAATTGAAGTTTCACATACTTCTCTTCAATTCTTTAACCACTGCCGAAGATTGTTTTGGTGATGGTGTCGGTTCTTTTCTTTCCAGTTCTCTATAGTGTTTCAGTGAGTGAAAATGCTCCATGCACACTTTTCGAATGTGCTTTTTCTGAAAATCATAATGGACTAGAAAACCCCTAGGCCACTCTGTTCTTACTGAAACTTGTGCATAAATCGGCATGAAAATCGTGGAATCATCGTCAGATCTTGGAAGCCAATTTGAATTGAGTTCTCGTTTATGACGGCTGGCCTATAAAATTTGTTTTTATGGGATTACTGTAGGGCTACTGTACCTGTAACTCCTGAATCTGAACATACTGGTAGCATATCCAACCAATAGAAAGAACCAGAAGAGCCCATGGAGCTCCGAATTTCAGAGAATCCAGTAGCTTCATATTCCACAAGCTTCGGAAAAATAAGGAGAAATGGAACCTAGAAATATGGAAAAAAAAGAAAAGTTGGTGACTCTCTTCAGAAAAAGCCATAAAAAGTGAAGAAAGGGAGGAGAGGTAGTAAATGGAGTCGCAAAAAAAGACAATTAGTTTTTTTTTCTCGCGCCGTTTTTTAGCATATTACTTGGTAAAAATGGAGATGAGGAAGAAGTAAAAATATACATATTTGTGGTTTTTTGGTGTGTGCTAATAGGAATAGAGGGTTTTTAGGGAGGAAAAAAAGTGGGAGGAAAAATAGGAGATGTAATAAAGGACCCAAAGAAATATAGGAATATGTGAAAAACTAAAATTTTGAAATCTTACAATTAGAACTTTGTATATTGGAATTGCTAAAAATTAATAGGGATAATTTGAGATTCTTGAAATCTTAGGATCCATTCAAAATCTTAGAATGTTAGAACTCTAGAATTTTGGAATTTCGGAATTTTGGAATTTTGGAATTACAGGATTTCAGAATTTCGCGAAAGCTAAGTTTTTCGAGAATCGAGAATTTCGTGTTTCATCACTTCCGAATCTTGGAATACGGATTTCGGAGTTTAAACTTTTCTGAATTCCAAAGTTTTGAAACTTGCAATTTTCGGTATTTCAGAATCCCAGAGGGGTCGGATTACGGAATCTCGGATTCTCAAAACATCAGAAGATCAAAATCTCAGAATCTCAGAATCTCAGAGTCTCAGAATCTCAGAATTTCAGAATCTCAGAATCTCAGAATCTCAGAATCTCAGAAACTCAGAATCTCAGAATCTCAGAATCTCAGAATCTCAGAATCTCAGAATCTCAGAATCTCAGAATCTCAAAATCTCAGAATCTCAGAATCTCAGAATCTCAGAATCTCAGAATCTCAGAATCTCAGAATCTCAGAATCTCAGAATCTAAGAATCTCAAAATCTAAGAATCTCAAAATCTAAGAATTTCACATTCCCAAGATCTGGAACATTCAGAACCTTAAAATTTCGGAATCTAAGAAACTCAGAACCCACAGTAGTCCAAACACTCAGGAACAAAAAACCCAGAAACCTAACCAAAAATACTCGATGACACAACGAATGCAAACAGAAAAGCATAAAGAGGAAACATGAACACACTCTTCCACTAATCCCGTTGTTCTTCATCATCATCTCAAGGGTGGTCCGCTATTCGAATGATATCGTAATCGAAAGAGCATATGGGGAAAAGAAGGGTCAAGGATGATTTAGAGTACCCCCATCAGTTGAATGAAATGAGCAATGAGCCGCCCTTCTTTTGGAAGAGCATACATAAACAAATTAGACAGCTTTTCCATGTGGATGACATTCGACACCCTGGGTGTGAAGGAGTAGTTAGGGAAAGGATCAGGATCCCAATAAAGAGAGGAAATTGATATGTTTTTAAGATGAGCAATTAGGGATGAGTAGTAGTAGTTGAAAGGGGGATTAGAAGAGTAGGTTCCATGCTTTTCGCATTTGATTTGCGTGCATGGACATACAGTACTGTACTAAAAAGCAGTCAAACTTTTTTTTCAGAGTATACTGAAAAAACTAGAGCTTCAATTTTGTAATTGACAACTTTTTTGTATAAATTTAACAAAGCGAGATAAGCGGTAAAAGACAGGTCTTATATATTTTCGATAGGTACTGTAATTCGGGATATTTGTCTGCATCTGGACTTGATGGTGTTGTGGATGATTTGAAAATTATAGTCTGCATGATTTGAAAATTATAGTTTACAGTTTTGAAATTTGAACTTTGAGCTTCCTCTGAAAATCAGACGTTTTCTTCAAATTTTGAAACTTGAAAATTTCGAAATTTGTTCGCATTTATAATTTCATAGATTGAACGAGTTTCAGAATTTCAGTAGTTCAGAAAACCGGAAATTCAGAATTTCAGAATCCCCAAAATTTCGAAATTTGAAATTTTCGGAAATTTCGATTTTAAGAATTTTAGGGCCAACATTTCAGAATTTTAATTTGTGAAAAAATATTTGAGGGCTTCGGAAACGGCAATTTTTAAAGATAGAGAATCCGATTCTCAGAATCCCAGAATTTCGGAACCTCGGAATTTCAAAATTTCAGAATTTTCTATGATTCCAGATTTAAAAAATTCTTAAATACTCTTGTTTTGGTTTCACTACGATTCTTTTCCCATCCTGAGATTTATAAACCTTGTAAGCTCTGCAACCCCTTTGAATCTTAGAAGTTTTGAATCTTAAAATTCCACTCCGAAATTGTCCATTTCAAATTTGATACCAAAATTGACAATTCAACAAAAATGGAAATTTGGAACTTTCCCGAATTCCAAAAATTAAAACTTTATATTTTTATACGATCCCTCTAATTCCGAGTCATTTTTTTCAAATAACATTTTTGCACCTTCCAGACACCCAGACCAATAAAAAATGAATTATGACAACTCTTTTCAAGAATAACTGGTTCACACTACGGCCGTTCCCTTTAACTCGCTATTTTCAAAACAAAATTTGTCTACAAACACCTCCCCCATATGTTTTCTTTTTTCTGTTTATCCCACTCACTTATGTTTTTTTGCTCTGTCCATTTCTAAGAACTTTTGAACTTGGTGCACGTATTTCGGACCTTATCTATACATTCAATTCTCCCAGGAACTCCAAGATGAGAAGAAAAACAACATTTTGGAGCATTTGGCCAAAACACAAAGAGTTTTTTTTGTTATTGGGTGTTTTTTAGTTTTCTTGGTTTCCGGATAGATTCTGAGAAGTTTCCTGTTTACTGGTTCAATCGAATCTGATCAAAATAGTGATTTAGATGGGTTTAAAAAAACCGAGAATGTTTTTGAAAAACTTTAAAATTGAAATTCAAAATCTTGAGATCATAGATTTCAGCTATTCTGAAGTTCAGAATTTCAGAATTTTAGAATTGACCATCTGAACTTCAAAATCTTTAAAAATGAATTCTTCCGAACTTCGGAGTATTTTTTGCAGAAGTTTCAGATTAGCCCTTAGAACTTTGAAAAATCAATTGAAAATCTGAATTCATGATTTCCCATATTTTCTAAATCATTTTTTTTGCCATTAAAAACCCTGGTTACCACACAAAGTTTCATATTTGATAGTTACATTTTTGCTTCTTATTTTTAAACATATGAAATTTTGGGTGTGTGTTGTGATGGGTGGAATAGCTCAAGATATGGGACAAAAAATCAGAAAAGAGAGTGAAGAGGATTAGAAAAAAACCATACACAAGTATCGAAATGAAGTGGATAATGGGGAATTTAATAAATTAGAAGTTTTTGGTTCAATCTTTTTTTGGCCGATTTAGGGATGATGGGTGGTATTTTTTGGCACATAAGATGTTCAAGGTCTTCCGGGTGTTCGGAAAACTTTTAATTAGGAATCAGAAGAAGAGAAATTACTAAAATGGTCTGGGGTTGGGAAAAAACGATCCTGTAAGATCGGAAGATAGGAAAATAAGGGGGTGGAGGATAAAGAGACATCTCAAAGTTTAGAAATGAATGAGAAAGGAGGAATAGTAAGGAGGATTAGATAAATTAACGGATCAAATAATTTAGAAGAAGAAGATGTCGTTAGTTAGTCCTCATCCTCGTCAGCTGCACCGTCTTCATTCGCCTCTGCCACGTGGACTGGTGGAGCGGTGTGGGGTGCTTTAAGAGTGTGATTGCCCTGAAAAATGATTGAATATGAATGGAAAACCGTAAAACGCCGTTTTTGGTCGAAAGATGACTCAAAATTACGAGTTAGGAGTTTGAGAATTAACGCCATCAGACTACAGTAGTCTACACTTGCTCTTTCAGATTAATTATCTCGATTCCTATGAGAGATGTCAAAATTTTGTCAACTGATAAAATGTTGGTAATATTATGATATATATTTTGTCAGTTGAAGTTGACTAGTTTTTGACATCATTCACAGTAACCAGGCTCAATTGGAAGTTTTGCGAGCCTGTAAAATAAAAAATTAAACATTAGATGAATCGTAAGAACCTTAAGAGGAAAAAAAAACTTCGGTAAATCAAAAATTCAAACTTTAATTTTCAGGACATTTTTTGATTTTGATATTGGAGCCTCAGAGTGTCAATATATCGAAACTATTCTGGAGAAAATTTTAGTGAACTTTCAGTATTTTCATTCTTTTCTAAACTTTAAAATATAATAATTTCTGATAGTGAGTTTCAAAGTTGCACCCCAAACCGTCAACTTATATTCAATTCATCTCGGGTTTTGTGAGAAGTATCAAAAATTGGTTAACTGATAAAATCTTTATCATAATATCAAAAACATTTTATTAGTTAACAAATTTTTGATACCTGTTACAGTAACCAAGATGAATTGGATCAAAGTGGGCAGTCTATTTTACTCTACTTACGGTGTTTGTACCCAGATAATATGTATGTCAGACAGATTTTTTATTTAACCTAAACTCACCTTATACTCCTTTCCCAAGTGCTCCGTACATCCTTTCCACTGATCGATTTCCGACTTATCGACAGCTCCGATTCCAAGGTATGCACATCCGATAGTGTCGTCGCCAGTGCAAGTTCTGGAACAAATAAACAATTAGAATCTTGTTTTTCGAACGCAAGAATCTTCTTACCTCTGTGCATCATGCACCGAAATCACAATTGCCGTCTGTGCCAACTCATTTTTTGAGGTTCCACACAAAAACATGACCGCCTCGTTGTACACAGCACAGCAGGTATCTTGAAAAAGTTAATTAGTGTTAATTACTCAATTTGATTACTCACTTTTGATAATTCTCGACGACTTGGTTTGTGTTTTGGCACCCTGAGTCAGCGTGATTTTGACGCAAACGTCTGCAAAAATTCGAATTATAAATTTTAAATATCAGTTTTTTCTGACGTCTTCTTAACTATACTCTCAACTGGTCCCTTCAGAAGTAATCACGACGAAAAAAATTGCCCCTCATTTTTTATTTACGATATATTTCTCTTTTGAGACTCTTAGAAAAAAAAATAGTATAGAGTCTCAATTTCCCCTATAAATAATTGTTAGAAAAAAGAGAGATACAACTTTTCTTTTTTTTTTGAGTGGGAGGAGAGTCTTTGATTCTGGACTCCAGAATCTGGCGACGTCAGATCAAATTCTATATGCATTGGGACTTTTCAATTTTGCAGCAGAGAGAGAAATATATTTTCGGGTCGAAAATTGATCTGAAAAATGACCTAAAAGAGAGAGCAAGAGTTCAATTTTATGAAATCAATAATTGCAATTTTTGCATGCCTCTTGAAGTTTAGTTAAGGTTAATTAGGCAGCCTGAGGTTCTGAAACTCTAAAAATTCGAAAAAAAATCCCAGAAACCCATCATTCCCATTTCCTATCCCTCAACAATCCAATTCCAATTTCAAAAACGTCCAGACCAAAAAAAGGAGATAAAGTCAGTAGAAAACCCATTCATCCATTCCATCGACAGACGATAAATTGTATCGTTCCTCCTGTCATACATTCATCATTCGATGGAATGGGTTAAGTTTTTCATTGTCATCCTGTTTTTTTGGATTCTAATTTGGGAAAAATAATAGTCTAAAGGAGCACAAGGAGATAAAGGTAAACATTTTTCTTTCAGCAAGAACCATACCTGGAGCACCAATAAGACCACATTTCGGCAGAGCATCCACCTTTTTCAGGTTAATTGTCAACCGTTTGGAATCTTTCTCAATGATGGAAGACGTGTAGATTTTTCCGAGTTTCTGAAAAATAAATACTTACTATTGAGTTGAGGGCTAGAAATTATTGGTAAAAGAATACAACAAATTGAGTTCTAGAATTCCGATATAATTACAAAAAATGACATTTTGATGTCCTTTAAAGGTAGTCCATCATTTTCTATTTATCTGAAAACGTCAGAGTATTTTAAATAAAAACAAAGTTTCATTTTTGTAGCTGACAACTTTTTTGTACAAGTTCATCCAAGTTAGATATACCGCCTCAAACCCAAAATTTCAGAAATTGCACTGAAACTTGAGTCGCAACACTTTCAAGCGGTATATTTCATTTGGATAAATTTGTGCAAAAAAGTTTTCAACTACAAAATTAAAGCACTGGTTTTGTTTAGTATTCTCTGAAATTTTCAGTTTCATCCAACCAAGTTTTTCGCTAAAAAATGCTTACCTTTGGCACGAGCGCTTTAATTTCTTCGATAAACTTGATTTCCTTCTTGGTGTTCATCTCTCGAATATCTCTCAATGGCACAGATGCTTCTCCTGAAAACAAAAAACTTTCGATTGGTTTTCTTTCTTCAATTTCTGCCCACCTATCACAATGTCTTTTCCCTTAATGCCGCCTCCTGCGTGACATGCCGTAATTATCACAATTTTCGTGTCGAGCTCCTCATGTGTCACATTGTCGAAGAAGAATTCCTGAAAAAAGAGGGCTTGTTTGGATATGTAAATAAGGGAGCTATTAGCTTCTTATACACTAATTGTTCTCGAATATTTCTTGTGGTTCTTTATTGTCGGGAATGAGTCATACTAGTCTGGGAGAGACTACCGTAACTATCAGCTTTGAGTCCTTTTATCTCGGTTCCTGAAAAAGATATAAAAAGTGGTTAACTGACAAACTATTTTTTAAATTATGATAAACATTTTGTCAGTTCGTCACTATTTGATATCTGTTACAGTAATACCCAGATAATTTTGGTCAAAGTTAGGTAACTCTTCTATTCCCGGTGCATCAGAATCCCCAAAATCCTCCTCAAAATCTTCAGACATGATCTTCTCATCTTTGACGTCATCTCTCCTTTTCATTGCACTCTCTTCTTCTTTTTTTACGCTACTTGAAAATTTTAATTTAGTGATGCAACAACACGCCAAAATAGAATATATGCATACTGACGGGGTGGCGGGCGGCTCAGATTTATGCTGTCTTGTTAAGGACCACTTGATGTCAAAAGAAGAGAAGATTTTGAATAAAAATAGTTTTTTTTTGAAGAAGTGATTTATGAATATCAGCAGGAACTATGGAACTAAAAATTCTGATTTTCACTAATCTACAGTTAATTTTGAACCCATTCATTATAGTTATTGTAAGAGATATCAAAACTTTGTCAACTGATAAAATATATCAGTTGATTACAAACATTTTATCAGCTGACAGACTTTCAGTATCTATTGGAGGAGTCAAGTTAATTCAGCTCAAAGATTGGAAGTTTAGTGACGGCGCAGTCAGCGTGCTGACCGCGTAACTCAATAGCAGCGCGCACTTTGATCTCAATTATCCTGGTTCCTTTAAGAGATATGAAAAATTAGTTAAATGATAAAATGTTCCTTGTAACATTCCTGACATTTTATCTGTTGACCATTCTTTGATATCTTTTGAGAGAACCGAGGTAATTGGAGGCAAACATTTGGGATTAAACGCACTCATTTCAAGCTAAATTCAGGCCGTTCAGACCAGACTTCGGGGCTATTTCCAATAAACTTCGGAACATTCTCATACTATTTTTTTTTCAAACTTAGATTTTCAGTTGATCTCTTACATGATTGAACATTGGATTTCGTCCTCTCATCGTTTCGGATGTCTGCTCTTTGGCTCCCTTGAGGCCAGGAATGCTCACTTTGCACAGTGCATGTATCTCCATTTCTGGTTTCAGCTCGCCGGCGAGTGCTGGAAATTGTAAACTGAATCAGAATCTCTTCATTTTTTGGTCTTCTTTTTTTTGATGATGCATCGTGGTGTAAGTAATCAAATTTTCTAGTCGCCAGAACTCTTTGGAGCATGAGAACCATATTTTTATTTATTTGGGGGAGCTATTCAGTGAGCAAAAACCAAAATCCCCTCCACTAATTCGCCATTCATATTTTCTGGGGCTGAAAACCCTTTTTCTTCATATCCAATTGCATGTTAATTCGAACCGGAACAACGTGTCCCCATGTCATTTTTATAAGGGGTCCCCTTGGAAAAATATGGTCCCTCCGGATACCAAAAATAAAGAAAGAAAGGAAAGAAAAGGCAATTAGTGTCAGAGACGAGTGACACATATCAAACAATATTGGGTCTGGCATTTATTTTTGGGATTATTTTCGAGAGAGAAATATATGAACTCAGGTTTAGGTATCCTGATGTCTGTGGAAATTTCGTCTGAAAATTTCTGAATTTTTGAATTTTTCAATAGAAGTCCAATTTCAACAAGCAAGAAAATCTTTCAAAATTCATAAGTTCCGATGGTGCAAAACTTTGAATTTGCTGAAATTAAGAAGTCAATTTTTTTCAGAGTTTCAACTTTTTTGCGATTTGTTTTTCTAAAAACATTTAGGTGCACAGTTATCAAATTGACCCCCACCCCCTTTTCCAAAAAAAATCTATATGTGTGTCCTTAAATTTTCTAAATTTCTCTCTAAAAATCGAGTCACATGACTGCTCTTCATCTTCTTCACACTACCACCACCCACTTTTTTCTCTTTTTCATATTTCTTTCACATAAAAAACCAACTTGTACCAGAAAACCCAGAAGGTCCCTTGACGCATCACAAATTGACTATGTAACGGGTTTTTATGGACGAAGAGGAAAATAGTGAAAAATGGGAGAAGAAGAAGACATCTGACAGCAAGAAAAGTGCACAGACAAGTTTGTATGGGACGTCTCCCATCAAAGCGCATGTGCATTTCTAATTAAGAAAGAACACGCCAGATTCTCTAGAAGACCTCAGAGAACATTCTAGAAGGATTCTGGATGCCTGCAACAATTTCAGAAGATTCCGAAAAATTCTGGAAAACTAGAAGTCATTGTGAAAGGATTCTGGTGATCTGGAACATTCCAAAAAGTTTCAGAAAGTTCCAGGAAAATTCCAAAAAAGTTTATAACACTTCAAAAGATTTTTTTTGTTTCTTAAAGGATTTAGAATATCAATTCAGACCATCTCAAAAAAAGGCTACAGGAATTTCAGAATCTCCCTTTATAGGTCAATTTCCTGTGGGAAAACGACCCTTTGATTTTTGGTGAGCTGGAAATAGTCATATGTCTTGCTTTCTTCTTTTTGCTGAATAAAGTAGGAGCACATTGATTTATGATAGAATTCCTGGTGGAGGAAAAGAGAACGACTGGTTGTTGATGGATTTGCAACAAATGAGGCAGAGAAGAAAAAAGAAAAAGGCCGTTAAAACATTTTTTGATTTATGCGATATGGCAGAAATACTTATTTTTCAAAGAATTTCGGTTGGAAATGGGATATGGCATTTCTGGAAGTTGCTGAATTTTGGGTTTCAGGATTAACAATTATTTTGAATTCAAATTTTGAGAAATACAATTTACTAAACTTTGCTTCTCAATTAAAAAAAACAAAACCTAAACTTTAGAATTTCAAAGCTGCAAAATCCAAAAATCTTCGAATTCTGACTTTCAATTCCGTCAATTTCCGTCAATTTTTTAAATCCTATCTCACAATTAGAAAAACTTTTAAACAAAAATCATGAATTCTAGAACATCAAAATCTTGGAATCTCCTATTTTTTCAATTTTAGAATTTCTGAATCGTAAAACTTGTTCAGTTTTAGAAACATTTGAAAATCTCAAAAATCCTTCTGAATTTCATAACTGCAGGATCTCAGAATTTCGAAACTTCAGAATTTCGGAATCCCAGAATATAAAAATCTTAAAATATTAGAACCTTGGAATCGCAGAATTACAGAATTTTGGAATTTTAGAATCTCAGAAGCTTAGAAACCTGAAATCTTCGAATCTTAAAATCTTAGAATTTCAGATACACACAGTTTCAGAATTTCAGACACTCTCCATTTCAAAATTTGAGAACTTTTCTTTTTGAAATTTCCAAAGTCTTCATATACAAAATCGAAATCATGTTAACTCCCCTTGATTCAATTCATCGAAAATCCTATCTTCTTACATCATATTTCTTTTTCTCCTAAAAACATGTAAAATTGCAAAATTTTTCCAGATTACGTGCAAATTTTCATGGGAAACATCCCCTCTTCAGTGGAAACATTTTTGTTTTGTTTTCTTCAGAAAACCTCCTTCTACTTCTTCTTCTTTCCCAATTTTTGCATCTGATTTAATTCTCCGGGTCCCCTATTTAAAATCTCCCCAAACTAAAAATTCCCGAATTCAGAAGAAACATTTGGGTACAAAATTCGGAAATTTCTTGGCCCCGGGAAGGCGACTATTCCCATGGGATTCCAATCTAAAAATCTTTCTTTTTGTTGGTTTTTGGCATGTTTTTTGTATGGAAAAAGTTTCAAAAGAGGCGAGAGATTTGGAGACTTAGATGGCTAGATGACCAAAATTTCCCTCCTGTGTCTGGAGGTCCTTTTGGACCCACATAATTGGTCAAGTACTACACATACTCAAGAAACAACAAGGAAACACATTTTCCCAAAAAAGGAAAGATGTTACAGATTCTAAAGTGTCCCTTTAAAAAAAGATCCAATGTTGCAACAATTCTCTCGGAGCAGTAAAAAAAAGAAGATAGACGACACGTCATTTGCATTGTTGCTCTAGGATGCTCTTTTTCAGAAATGGCGTCATTCAATTTGAAAGTTTAGATTACCCCCAGAGCCATCACACCAATAACTCACCTTCAATTTTCGATACTGTAACCCGCAGACGTTTTCGGACTGCAAAGTAGAGCAATGAGCAATGCAGAAGACCCAATCCACGTGGTTGTTGTGGCGTTGGACTGGAACTCGAGGCGACACTCTGGAAAGTTTTTTAGGTTATTGGGAAAATCTTTCTGAAATTTTGGAATTCAAGAATTTCAGTAACTTAGAATTTTGTAATCTGAAAAGTAGATAGTTACACATCTAAGAATTCTAGAATCCCAAAATCCTTCAGAATTTTGGGAGAATCTTAGAACCCTAGAATCTCAGAATCTCAGAATCTCAGAATCTCAGAATCTCAGAATCTCAGAATCTCAGAATCTCAGAATCTCAGAACCTCAGAATCTCAGAATCTCAGAATCTCAGAATCTCAGAATCTCAGAATCTCAGAATCTCAGAATCTCAGAATCTCAAAATCTCAGAATCTCAGAATCTCAGAATCTTAGAATCTCAGAATCTCAGAATCTCAGAATCTCAGGATCTCAGAATCTCAGAATCTCAGAATCTCAGAATCTCAGAACTTTCAAAATTTTCCAAACTTCTTTCAGAATCCTCAAAATCAACAAAATCCTAACCGATTTGTGCACTGCCGTGTTGTTATTTTCGATAATAATCGGAGCATTCGGAGAGTAGAGAGATGGATCCAATCCATGAGCAATCGGATCCTCATTGTCAGAACCGTTCTTGTTGATCTGAAAGAAATTGTATTTGCATTTTTTTTGGTCCCGTGATCTCTCGCAATTTCTCATGTTTATTAATGTTTTTCGTTCATGATCTCTCATCTCCTAGTCTCTCAATTTCTCCCGTTTAAGTGGGTGATTTTTAGAATATGCAGTTTATGAAAAACAAAGAGAAAAGTTGTTGATGTTTGAAAATAAAATAAATAGGGCTTTTTCAGATATCAGAAATCACCAAAGTGCACTTGAATTTTTTAATTCTTTTTCGTCCCTTATTTTTTTTCTCTAAATGCTATTTTTTCGGCTGCTCCGCGGAGCACAGGAAATCATCAGAACATGCAAACGAACTCGAAAAAAACAGGGATAAGAAAAAAACAATTTTTTGGAAGATTTGGAGAGAAAAAACGAGATATTGTCTGTGTGATGATGATGGACATGGGAGGAACTGGACGATGAATTATACAGAAGACTTAAAATTGCGGAAAATGAGATTTGGGGAAGGAAGCGTTTTGTTTTTTTTTGAATGAGTATAGTAATCCAGAAGTTTTGAGATCTGGAAATTGGAAATGGACAGAAAGTTTTTATCGAATTTTGAAGAACCAAAAATCCGAGAGGAGAGACGGAATTCCAGAATTTCAGAATTTTTCAATTTTAGCATTTCATAGTTTTAGCATTTCAGAATTTTAGCTTTTCAGAATTTCAGAATTTCAGAATAACAAAAAATTAAGAATCTTAAAATATCAGACTTTCACAATTTCCCAATTTCTGAGATTTTGAGATTCTGGAATTGTGAGATTATGCACACTTCTGAAGAATTCTTTAATTCCAAAATTTTAAAATTCAAAAATACCAACATTTAAGAAATTTCTAAGAATCCTGAAAATTCGAAACATTCTAAAATTTGGGGAAACTTTTAAAACCTTCAAAATCTGAAAGTTCGAAATATGGACGAAATCCAACATTTTCAAAACGAAGATTTTTTTCAAAATCTAGGAATCTCATTGTCTCTAGAATCATAGAATCTCGAAAATTCGGAATTCCAGATTAAAAAAACAATCCGCAATGCTTTCCCTATTTCCATATTTCCCAAAATCCCCCTGATTCCCAAAATTCTCTCATTTTCTTGGTCCCATCTTTGGTATTCCCTCATATAACTCGATTGTTTTCATGTCCCTTTGTTTTCTTTAACTTTTCGTCACCAAGTTTCTAACTTCCTTCGCCTCGTGAGGCACCCAATCCAATCAGAAAAGGCTAGAAACCAAAACCACAGTAATCCTTTGTTCAAAAATTGTGCCATAAGGTGTCCAGAAAAACACAAAAATTGAATCAATTTCAGCTCGTTAGCCGGAAGAAAACAGAAATCTTGTTCGTTTTCTCATTTTTTCTCCCTCTTCCTTCTGCCCCCTATTTTCTCAGAAAATTCAGTTTTTTTGTGACGTTTAAAAAAACAAAAGGCGTCGTCTACTCGTTATCGCCATGGTCTTCGTGGCAAAAGCAGAAGACGTGGCGCTTCAGAAATTTGATTTTCCCGCCTTCTTTTTCCTTCTGTGGAGAGATTAAAAGAGGAAGAATTCCAAGGATAAATTTCCCCCGCCCTGCTGCTACGCTGCTTTTGCTCCAACGTCAAAAATGCATATGAATAAGAAATGTGCAGCAAAAAACGAGGTCCACTAAAAAGATGACGAGTAGTACTAAAGTTTTCGTCTTGAGTTGAGCACTTTTTTTGAGACAAGGAACACGACATTTGACCCGGTGCGACGAATGATGTCAATGGGTCTGGTCATTGATGGGATAATGTAGACAAAAAAGGGAAATTGGAGAAGAAGGAGGAAATCTCAATGTCCCAAAGTACAAGACACTTTTGGTCCAGGGGTCATTTGTACTCAAGAATAGGCGGCAGAATCTGGGAAACGTGTCTAGAGAAGACAAAAGCCGAATGAGGTTGGTTGCTTAGAAAACCTTTAGGTCATGGGAAATGTCAAAAAATTTGAAATCGGGTCAAATAGTGACCCCTGTCTCCCTTTGGCTCAACTTTCTTGGCTCCTGGGACAGATATCAAAAAATGGTAAACTAACAAAATGTATCTGACATTATCATGAACAACATATCAATTGATCACATTTTGGTATATTTTACAGGAACCAAGATACAAATTGTCTTTAATTTAGGTCCCATCTATTACAGGTCTGGCGATTTTCCAATGAATTTGGGTTCAAACTACAATTTTGACTTATAAATCCCACTGAAAACGATTTTTAACCCCAATTTCAAACTGAAAATCTATTATTTGATTAATAGTTTTGGATTTGATGCTTTGTTTTAACGATTTCAAAATCCTTTTTTTCGTTGAAAACTTTTTCAGGCCTTAAGCTAGAATGTTACAAATGTTTAGTTCAGAAATAATTATATCTGCTGATAGTATCATGAAACCTCTGATAGAAGTTCTTCTTCCGCTGGACACCATTAAACTGCATACCCTATACTTGCACTCAGTTCGTAATAGAGGTATCAAAAATGATCTACCAAAAAAAGTTTTTGATATTTTGATAAACATTTTATCAGTTGAGGACTTTTGATGTCTTTTACAGAGAATGAGATAAATTAAGTCAGAAGCATAGACTTGAGAATTTCGGTTTCCCCAGGGATTCCCCCTAAACATCTTATCGTCGACTTTCAGACGACGCAATTTACTCCTATAAAGTTCAGCTTCCTCCTTTTAACCCTGCTACTTCCCAACTACTTTTCTATTCCAAAGTGTAGAGTTTTCTTTTTTCTGCATCTCAATGTCCCCCTATACATCACCTTCTTCTCTTTCTCTCTTTCCTAAATTACCCTCTTCCTGTGGCCTTCTCATTTGTTCCCGTATAGGAAAGCATTGCTCCTAAGAGTCTCGACACATAAAACTCGAATTAATTTTCTCCTTCCCCTCCCATCGTTTTTTTCTTCTTCTACTCCTCTTTTTTTTTTGAAAAAGAGGCAAAGTTGTTGTGAGCAGCAGTAGTGCTCATCATCGGCTGATTGCCCTCTCCATTTTTATACATGTCACGTGCCTTTAGCACCTCTTTTTTTTCACCCGCTTTTTGAATAATGACGGATTCAGATGAGAGGAAAAGGAAGGCGTCAAACGAAGCGCCTCTCGCCCCAAATTCGATAGTTTGAAATATGAGGAGCCAAGTGAGGGGCACTCAACCAGATCAAATGGTTCTTTTTTGGCACTTCCTTCTTCTTTTGGCGCTTATGAATTTGAAATTTAAAAAACCAAAAAAAGGACGTTCCCCGGAAAATAGTCTTATAATAGAATTCTAGACATATGGGTAATTGAATTGAGCCCCCCTCGTCCCCAGATGTGCTCACTGATTTCATCGAGTGGGAAAATTATAGCCTGTGTGTTCGGTTGTGGAAAACAGGAGACAGAGAAGGAAGTGTGCTATTTAACAAGGAATCGGTTGGCTGATCAGAAGGAAGAATTTTCGGGAGAGGTGAAGAAGAGAAAAAAGGACAAGGATCTTTGAATGCAAGGAGGAAATTTTGTCTAGAAGTTAGAAGTTAAGATTGACCGGCTCATGACTTGGTTTAAACTTGGAATTTCTGTTTCAATCAAAAAACGAAAAATTAAGAACTTGAGAAGATCCACAAAATAATATCTAATGTAACAATATAAGAATGCCGAGTTTTAAACCAGAAGCCGTGAAACAGACGGATCCGCCTATCGAAGTCTATTTCGTGTCGGCTCAAAACGGCTGAAACTCGGAATTTCTTTTCGAATCAAAAAGCAGAATGTAGACCTTGATAAGATCTACAAAATAGTTTTAAATTTGACTATAGGTTTCTTTGAACTCTTCATTTAAATTGAAAATTCGAAAGAATCATAGCTTAAACCGAGCTGTGCTCCTTTTAACAATATTCAGGACCCCCTTTTTTCCCTACACCCCTCCTAATTTTCCTTCAGAACCCGCTGATATCATACCTAGACAATGTCCTTCCTAATCCACCCAATTTCCTATTGTTTCCTATCTGTTATATCTCCTACGCTTCCTATTTTATGACCTAAAGCACTTCGTCATAACTGATAAGCTTCGTCCACCCCGGAAAAAGTGAGTCACTGCTTTTTTACCACTAGTACTCTATACCAGCCGATTCGCAACAGAAAGGGATTAAAATGCAATAGCACCTCGGACACTGGAGATTAGTATAGAAACCCTTCAAAACTCCCTTCAGAGAGAGATTGAGAGACATTTTCCCACGTGTTTGGCTTGATACCCAAAACTTTTGCCGGGAATGTTGATACATAAACAAAATGACGTTTTAGCTATCGAGAACGGCTCTCTGTTAGCACTCTTGGACCCATTCAATTCTTCGACGCTTGGTCGACGGAAGTGACTCCCAACATCCGGTCTAGAAAAAAGTGTTTGGGCTCCCTCTCCATAACCCTCTCCATATAAATAGGTTCTATTTCCATAACACTTTCCTGTTTTTGGTTATATATATTTTTCTGAATATTAATTAACTATTCATCTTCCTCTTTCTTATTTTTGAGGAAAGGGAGAGGAAATCGAATGAATCGAACACATAAATCTTGTATCCCTGAGATACGAAATGGGGTGGTGGACGTGAAAGGCACAAAAAGTCTTCAGAGGCAAAAACGCTAATTACCTTGGACAGGTCGAAAACACCCACGCCTTAAGGGTCCAACGAGTACTAAAATCGAACATTCTAGACTTGGAAATTGAACAACTAACCTGCTCAATTGACGGCGAGTGCACCGAGAACTTGGACATCCTGCGTGGCTGTGGTGGTGGCGCAATTAGTATCTCTGGCGAAATCCTCCGAACTTCTTCTGGCGGCGTCACGACGACTGGCGATGGTTCGTCTGGATACTGTGCCTCTTCTTCTTCGACGTCTTCTTCCACGCACTCCTCGTCAGCCACGTCTTCTTCTTCAGCCTCTTCAGTCTCGTCGTAAAATCCTGGCTCGTCTGGAGTGGGGTCAGGTGTCAAGGATACCGGCGAGAGGGAGCACTGAGAGCTGTTTCCATTCACATTTTGAGCCAAACTCGTCAAGTTCGACAGCTCTGCCGTTGGTGGCCTCGGCAACTGTCTGCCAGAAGGCCGCCTTTCTAAATGTGGCGCAGCACTTGGACATCGATATTCTGGGGATAGTGGTGGTGGTGTTGGGAGAATCCGTGGTGAGCTACTTCGCCTTAGATGCGTGTCCGGTGGCATTGGAAGACGCCGTCGACACGTCGTCGGCTCCAGAAGCGCCGGATAGGCAGACAGATGACGCTGCTGCGGTTGATGCATTGGCGGCGTAATCGCTGGCGAACGCGTCGACGAATCCGGGGTTTGCGGTAGCGAACGGATTTTGCCTTATTTTCTGAAAACTGGGTTGTATAGAAAGAAAGATTCAGAAGCATATAAAAAGGTCAAATAACTCTTCGAAAATTCAGGAGGTGTGCAAAATCAACATTTTCAGAATGGGAGGATTTCAAAATGCTCAAAACTCCTTTATGGTCATAGTGGCTCATCCAAAGATAAAAAAGATAACACCAGATGATTGGGTGAGCTTAAAATGTTGAAAACCCAGGATTTTCTGGAAATAAGGAACCTTTCTTGTCCGGATTTCCATGTAGACATTTTTTCCCTGCCGTCAGCACATTTTTTCCAGGGCTAAAAAAAAGCAAACAGGTGGATTAGGAGGAAGCGGGGTGGAATTTCTAAAGGGATTCAACTTTGATCTTATTCTTAATCAACGTAACGAATTCATCCTTTTTCTTTTCGGTGGGATTGGATTGGACAACAATAGGATTCTCAGGGAAAGAGAAAAAAATGTCACGTGTCAGAGCCAGTAGTACTAGTTTTTGGTGAGGGGGTTGGAGAAATAGAAGTGAAAGGCAAAAAAGAAGGCGAATGAAGAAGGAATGGAATGAGGAAAACAAAACAAAAAAGTGACCAAAACTTGTAAAGTGTCTGTCTCTGAAAAATAACACACCGACACAGACAGGGTTGGGGTTCCAGGAGAACGAAGAAGAAGAAGAAGACCCAAAGATAAAGGGTCTGTGTGAAGAATGGTGAAGAAGAAGAAGAAGAAGTAAGGAGAAGAAGGAGCTGTGCCCTAGCCCCCCTATGGAGAGATTGCGGAGCGTGTGAGAGGCAGTAGTCTCTCTCTTTCGGAGCAAGAGGGGCGGAGCTTGTGGGGGGGGGGGGGGAGAGGAAGGGGCGGGACTTAGGGAAGAGAGAGAGAGAGACAGGAAGGGGGCGAAATTAAGGTTCTAATATTGTAATGAGATGAAGGGAGGGGAGCAATATTTGCAGAAGCGGAAACACGACGACGTATACATTGATCAATGATTAGAAGAGATTATGAGAGATTCTTTAGTGTTTCAGATGGGAAGAAGAAATCCACGTGTTTTCTGAGATCTTTGAAATTTAAGGATCATGGTTGGCGGTTACAGAAAAATTTCAATCACAGTTCTCTTCCGTTTCTGGAAACGTCGAGAATGTTATGTAACTTTTTTTTGAATTCCCCTGTTCTAGCGGTGGCCTAGAATTTCCAGTGTTAGCAGTAGGTAAAAAAAAAACTTCTAGAACCTACTAAAAGTTTCCTGAAACGGACAAAACTGAGATTTCGAATTTTCTGTAACCTCCAATCTTGATTCTCAAATTCCAAAGATCTTCTCGGAAAGCACGTGGCTTTCTCCCCATTTGAAACACTAAAGTACCTCAGACACTGTTCTAGAGATGATCTGGAATTTTCAGTTTTGGCGGTAATTCAAAAAACTTCTGGAACCTCCTCAAGATTTTTTCTGTTTCAAAAACATCCAATTGAAATCGAACTTTAAAATGACTAAGCTAGCTAACTAAGCTAGGACATCCGGATTTACAGCTCCACAGAAGAAAGCCATAAAAAGATTCACAGAAAAAGTAGAATTGGTTCTTTATTCTAACATTTCTCCAATCAACAAAAAAAATAAATCAAAAACATCCAGATATCCGGAGCCACAGGAGGAAACTTTTAGAATTTTAGATTAATTGAAAGCAAGACGGTTACTACCGTAGCTCAGGCGATGCTGCCGTAGCTCAGGCGATGGTCACATAAGTTCAACACCTCTAGAAACCGAGTTCCGGGAAATATATTTTTCAAGCCCCGATTTCTAAAAACCAAAGTCTCTGAACGCGCGAAGGCTAAAAAAATTGTGTTAACTAAAATTGAATTTAGAGCCTATATAATATTTTTTGAGCCTATCTAATATATTCCAAAAGGTAAAATGAGCAGCCAATCGGAAGAAAAAAGAAGTTATGTTTGAATAAAAAATAAACCGGTATTTGCTTTTCCCTAATCCAAAACGTTTTTTTTTCTAGGTTAACCCGAAAAAGTGTATATAGAGGAAATGAGAGAATGATTCATTTGGTATGCAGCACATTTACTAGTAGGACCCTTCCCCGCCTCTCTTTTTAGTCATTTTGCTCAAAAGGGGTCAAAGATACGTAGGTTTTTGGTTTTGAAAAAAAAACCAAATTTCGCTTTTCAATCATTTGTTTTGAAAATGTTCTCAAAACGGTCATTTTCGTAGTGGGACCCATGAAAATCAAAAATTTCAAAACCCAGTCGTGTTTAGGCTCATTTTAAAGTTCAAAAAGTGGTGAAATCAAATCTCGCAAAAAATACGAATTTGAACGAAGCTGAGCAATAGTCTAAAAATTTCAACACCCCATTATGAAACTAAGAAAGAACAGGGGAACTCCAGAGTGTGAATAATTCCAAAAAGTGTGAGAAACTAAATTTGGGAATTCTCAAGAGGAGAGAAAACAACAATTCTAGTAGACAAGCGTTTGCAAAAAGGGAAAACTAGGTTAGTTCTGACGGATCTAATTTTTTGAGAATGTTTTGAAGATTTTAGTTGAGAAAGCGGGGGTGAGAAATCAGAAGCGCAGAATCCTCAGAATTCTTCGGAACCATATAATTTCAAACGCTCAAAATATTTCAAGATGCTGAAATGAACTTAATGGGAAAATCTAACCGTCTCAGATTCTGAGAATCAAAAAATCCGGAATGGTGTTCAGTTTGATCTACCGTATACCCTCTTTACCAATTTCAAAAAGGCAGAAGACATACGAAAAAAAAGCAGAAAAGAGTTTGATATTGTCGAATTAAAAAAACTGACACCTGAAAATTTTTGGGGGCAACCTTCGTGTCGATTTACGAGGCATCGCTCCGAAAACGGATACTGTAAATAAAAAATTAGTTTGTGTGAATTTAGTGGGATTTTCTGGACAAAATTTAGATTTATTGGTATGAAAATGATCGCTAGCATCTCTAGAATCTATATTTCAGCAAAAAACTGAACTGAACTTGAATGGGAAACTGACTCGAACGAGCCGAAAGCCTGAAATATTTATTTATTTATTTACGACCAGCAAGCTGGTGCGCCTTCGGCGCGATTCAATCTACTTTTTTCAAACGTCCGTCGCTTCGTTTCTCACTTTTTCTAAATAAAAGGGTCACGTAAATATATATGTATTTTTCAATTTTTCAAAAGTTCACAGACGGACACGAGGACGGACAGACGCCTCTAGCGTTTTATTAATAAGGTAGATTGCAAGAATCGTGGAAAAAAAAGGGGAAAAAACATTAAAATACATGATAAGCTACATGATAAGTTACGTTTTTGCCGCGCTTTTTCGTAGATCAAAAAACGCGAAAGTTTTCAAATTCTCAGGTGTCACTTTTTTCAATCCGACAATATCAGAAACAATTCATTAGTTGACAATTTTTCAATATCTCAAACAGGAAACGAGATAATTAGGCTTAACGGACAATTTTTTTTCAGGGAGTTTCACAGAATTTCAAAAATCAAAATTCAATTAATTTTTTAATTTTTTGATGAAACATGTATTAGTTTTAGGAAAAAATCCGCTTGAAAAAAAACATTTTTTAAATTTAAAACTCTACACCAAAATATCGACATAAAAACCCACGACCCTTGATGGCCCATTGACCTCAGTAAGAATAATATAAAGGAAGAGAGAATCAAAGGTAAGAATCAGTTCTCCCTTTCTCTGGGCTCCAGAGGAGGGGGCCCAGGGAGGGAACCGGAACCTGGTGTCCGGGTCCTGTTGCTGGGGTCCTGGAGCCCGGGTCTTGGAGCCCGGGTCCTCGTGCCCCTGTCCTGGAGCTCAGGTCCTGGTGCCCGGGTCTTAGATCCCGGGTCCTGGAGCCCGGGTTCTGGAGCCCGGGCCCTGAAGCCTGAAACTGAAATCAGACAATTCATGCAGTGGGATGATCTACGAGAAACAGGATCATTCGGAGTGGTTCCTAATGGCTCAGACTGAGAATAAGAAGAAACTAAGAGATTGATATGAGATCCTGGTGGAAGGAACCAGGAGCCTGGATCCGCAGAAGTTAAAGCTAAAGCTGGTCCCAATAGCAGCCAGGAGGAACTAGTGCGTGATGTTCAAGATAACTTTATCAATTCCTGGAACTGAGATCAGACATTTTATGCATTTAGAGCGTTCCTGATGGTTCAGGCTGAAAATAAGAAAAGAAAGGAAGCACTTGGGTTCAGGCGAGGGGGTCAGAAAAAGCGCCCCAGCAAACTCGTAGGCCAGAAGAAATTTCATAATTTTAAAATGAACGCAGGTTTGAACTAGATCATGATCTATTTCTTAAAAATCAACGAGTTGCAACGCGCGTATTCTCGCTCATCGTTTAAAACTGTGATACTCAGCCAACCTAGTTCGGCAGCGAATTGAGAATTTTTGAAAAATTTACTGGGGCGCGCTTTCTGACCCCCTCGCTTGAACCCAAGTGAGGAAGTGCTTGATCCTACTATTTACTCATGCAGTAAACATTCTTATAATAAAGAATTGTAACATTTTCTTTGTATTTTTTGGGATTTTCAAAGGAGGAATAAAAAATTTTGGACGGATAAATTTTACCGTAAAACCGGTGACACACAGTCAAGTTTGAGTTCAATTATCTCAATTCCTATAAAAGATATCAAAAATGTTTCAACTGGCAAAATGGTTCTCGTATAATTATCAACATTTTATTTCTTGACAAATTTTTGGTGTCTGTTGAAAAAGTTAAATGTTGAGACTTTCAAAAACTAGACTCTAGAAAATCACAAAATGATATTTCTTAAAAACTGACATGGGCTAAATGATTTGGCTCCAAACCAAATTCCAAAAACCCAGAATCCTTGTTAGTTTGATCTACCATAAATTTCACCAAAAAAGGCAGAAGACACACGAAAAAAGCCCAAAGAGCACCCCCGCCGAGTTGTCTCTTCCAAAATGTCAAA